TCAAAGGCCTGTAAAAAAAGAACAAGGTCGGACTGGGGTTAATGCACTGTCACCCGAGAGGTGACACACACGCTGGCGCTGCATATGCGGGGCGCTGGGACACGTGCATGTACCTACTCGGATACCATCTACAAGGTTAAGATTTGGCCGTATACACTGACCTGGGGAGTTTGGCGTTCGGTGATGGCGGCGGCAGCTCTCGTGCGAGTCAACGATCAGCCACTGCAGTTGGCCTCACGTCTCTCAGCACGGGCGTGCGGGCTCGGCCACCACTTCGCGTGGCTACACCCAGTCAAGTTCGGCACTCGGTTCGAGGTGCATTCTAGAAATTTTAATTTCCGTTTTTCACAATTCCTATGTACTCTCATAGGACAAAGGATTTAACAACAACAATTTTGGTTTTTCTCGAATTCGAAAATTTCAAGGTCTCAAAATAACAGGGCATAAAACTGAGTTCCAAGTCCACCACCTTATTCCCAAACAACACACTCCAACCCATAAAAAAATAATACCCAACCTTAGAAATAGGCAAAAATCCTCAAAGGAAATCTAGTGCTGCTCTCTAGTCGAGGAGTCTTGGAGAACTGAGTTGTAATTAATTTGATAGTGTGATCTACATTGTCAGATTGATCGCGTTCTGCTTAGTCATTATACACGTATTCACAGTTTGCAAATAACCATCTCCTATTGTCAATCATGCACACCGACAATAGTGAAATGAGTAAGTATTCCAATAATTCATTGTGATATTATTATTACCGACATTTCACATCATCTTTCGGCTGCCATTAATGCACTTTGGTTGCGTATTCTGCCACACGTTATATTTTAATACTAAATTTGTGACCGAAATCTTATCTCATACGCAATTTGCTCACTGACACACAAATTGAAGTCGTATCTCAGACGCGTCATTGTTTTATAAATAGACGTGGTAGATCCTTCAATCTTCAACAATGGTCCGAATAATAAATGGATCTAGCACTTTCAAATATTCACAACTTTTACTCCTTTCTTCCACTTAACATCATAAGAAAAATCTATCGATCTCGAGTGGAAAGATTGAGAGTGTTAATGCTCCATAATATCCCCAATGATATTCGATGGTTGATTGAAGCAAACGTTCGAGTATCTGGCGAGTTTCCCAATGCATACAAATATATGACAGGTATGGGTAGAAGTACTTTTGCCAAGAAACGAAGAGCTAAAAGAATAGGCGGCTGTTATAAATGTGCACGTTGGAATTGTGACACACGATGTACGTCTTTAGGATTTGTGTCCAATAATCGAGAAGATAAAATAGCTTTTATAAAGGATGGTTTGAGTAAAGAATCTTTAGATCAAACGATTCAGCAGATTCTTGAGACACATCCAAGTGGTTACGTGCATCGAGAGCTAATCTCTTTGTGGACTCAATTCAAAAATGAAGAAGAACGCTATAGTCTCGAAAATATATTATCAAGAGATCCGGTCTTTAAGCACTGTTCTTGTTAGTACAATTTAATAAAAATGTATTGTATAGAAAATCTTATCGTTGCTGACAGATAAGATTCTTTGTCGACAACTTTTTCCCTTTTAAAAGGCGAGTCATTCTTCATAGCCAAGTGTCCCACAAAATAAATGGCTACATCAGAGTCTTCTCATGGTAGAAAACTTCTTCAACCACTCACAACTGTATGTGTTCTTGGTGGTTCTAAATTCACCAATTTTCCTCATAATCTCAATGTTTTAAGTCAACTGGTGAGAGAGTTAGGGAAACAAAAGATCAACTTACTGTATGGTGGAACTAGCTTCATCTTCTTTGATAACCTTTTGATGGCTGCAAAATGTTTTGGTATAGAGGTGAGAAGTATCATCCCTTTTTATATAAC